AATATAAGGATATAGCAGAATTGAAGTGCAATCTCGTAAAGTCTTTATCAATATAAGCAGAATTTACTCAACGCGATTGGAGTCCAATGTGAGTAAATTCACAATCACAAAAACATAATGAACAAAATGGGTTTTTCAATAATAATCAAAGTCTGCCAAAACTTCGTGTCTCAAGCCCTTTATATAGTCTAGGGCAAATAAAATAACCAAAAACCCAAAAAGAAACAAAATCCTAAGCCAAAAAGGTAATTTTAACTCGTACTTGCAAATCCACGGTCTACCCTTGTAACACCCTACCCTATACGTTTTGCCTAATCATATTGTTCACACAATTGCAGCGGAATTTAAAACTGGTGTTACATTAATTACCAAAAATCAAATAAAATTTCGTCATGAATTACTCACGTAATGGGCTAACAGTTCTTGCAACTAGACTTGCAAAATAATTCATCTGAATACATACATTCATAGACAAACATATATACTTACAACCATGTACATTGGCTTTCATAGCTATAGTCACACTTTCGTACTCTGCAACTACATACCATACTTATACGTGTCATAATCATCACTACATACACCACCACACACATATACACATATAATCAACTTTCCACACCTGTGGATATCTCACACTACATCAGGAGCTAGTATGCACATGAAAAACGTTCTCAAAACATTTTACAAAAAGGTGTGGATCACTGGCCAAAATCCCGAGTAGTAGTCCAAGCACAGAATAGTTGAAGACCATACCTCATCCTTGCTTCAACTCTAGCTCCTCTCCCACCTAACACTTATCTACTGCTGCTACTGATGATCTGCTTACACATAGCATAAGCAGAGGAAAAGAATAAAAGAGGGTCAGCTCATAGCTGAGTGAGATAATCATAGCATCGTGAGTTCATAACAGAGCATACCCCTACCATACATCTAGCAAACAAGCCAAAACACTAGGATCGGAACTCAGCCATCCTCATGTCCCAATGGGCAAAAGACTCAACCACCTTGACTTATGCATATGCGTCTTATCATGTTTTACTTATAGGCGCCTGGCTACTCCCATGCTAATAACTCTCCCGGGAAACATACCCCACATCCCGTCGGATGTAGTCATACATACCCCAACATCCCGTCGGATGTGGTCATACATACCCCACACCACTATGGGTGTAGTCATACCCCGACACCGCTCTGGGTGTGGTCATATCTCGTAAGAATTCTTCAGTCACCACCACATGAGAGGTGTGACTATCATACATATCATAATAGAGTAATAGCATAGGGAGCCCTAATTACTATGTAGTTGACCGTGAGACCACAACACTCATATTTGGTATCCTTATACATGATTCATATCTCATCTTGCTTAATCATAATTCGTTACTTGTACATGAACTTGACCCGGCCATAATTGGCTCAACATAGGTAAATCAGGAGTCGTATAATTGCACTTCCTCGGGATAAACCCTCGTGCAAGTCATCCTCCTTAAACATCATAATATCACCAGGGAATATATATTTTCCCACATATGTATCCAAATACAACAATCATGAAAAATCATACACAATCACCTTCTCGAACCATCATAAAGCATATTAACAGTCTAGCCCACAATTTGTAACATATACACAATCATCAGCATAAACAAGGTCCATATCAATTAGGGCAAGTCAATAATATCATACAGCAGTCCAGGATTCAACATATAGCACAAAAGTTCATACACCCCTAATCATGCCATTCTAGTTCACCTAGATCAATTCTAGGCATCAATATAATTATCGTGATACGACAAACCCGGTATGCCGTGCTAATCCCTCACCAGTTCTGGTCGTTCAAACACCGGTTTAACCTTCCCGTACTAAAACGTCAATTTCACGAACGAACCCCGAATTAAAATCCGAGACCGCCCTAATATCCCCTGCAGTATCCCCGTCAATATTAGTTCTAGGCTCCGGGTCAAATTCTTGATAAAAACACATCAAACCGTGGCCGGAGCTAAATTCAGCGGTTTGGACCCCGACCTAAATAATAGCCGAAATTCAGGGATTAGAACTAGAGGATTGATTACCTCGCTGCAGGAAGCTCGTATATGAAATTTGGGCTCAATCCGGCTTCCGGATACTCCGAAACCCTAATTTGGCTTATCGGGTATTCAAGAAATTCCTGATCCAAAAACTCGTTTTAAAGCTCTAAATCGATAAATCACGATGTATAGATGAATTAGGCATTACTTACAGGATTTTTGGATCACTAGGGCTCAAGATTGGAGCTCTCAAATTTTCCTCTGTCGCTCCCCTGAACTTGTCCGCTCGCTCTGCTCTCGGTCGGAATAAAAGGAAAAGAACGAGAAGATGGAAATGTAAAGGTCGGGGACATTTAAATGAATTTTGCGTCCCGACCGCTTTATATATATATATATTATATATATATACATATTAAATATATATTATATATATATATATATATATATATAATTAATACGTATACTTATCCGATCGATCGATAATCCGATTTTCGCCGAAATACTATCAAAACGCTCGATTTTAAATCGCGAACTTTCTAGCAATCGAAATATGGGTTTTGCCGGAACGGGATGTTACAATTCTCCCCTCCTTAAAAAGATTTCGTCCCCGAAATCTAACCTTGAGTTGTACCCTTACTCCGCTTACTTACCCTTGACATGATCGATCGTACCTAAGGTTATTACCTAACTCTTAAGTTAGGAGATCTGAATTACATAAATAAACACATAACACCTCAAGTTCCCAATATAAGGTTTCAAAAACCTATATCGGGTTATCACAACATAAGCACATCAACAAAGTTCAAAACATAACTTACTAAGCAAGATTGTTAACCTGCAAAGTAGGTTGCCACTAACACAAGGTTATATCAATCTACAAAATGTTTACCATAACATCATCAAGATTCATATCTCTATTCAAATATCTACCACAACAACTCGTCATGTTAGCATAGTCGAAGATCAACTGCATTACATAGCTAGCCACCATGTTTCTCGATCGGTTAGTAGTAACACTAAACGTACTTCTGTGCAAACTACAAGGAAACATTGGCCTTAGTTTGATCCACACACCATTTGTGTCTAACCAAGTTACTCACTTGGTTGAAACAAAACTTTCTTCAAAATCAATACTTGGAAAACAAGATAAAAACTCCATATATTTCCAAAAATTTCTTAAACCATAAAATTTTCAAGATTCCTTCAAATACTCAAAATCATGTTTGACCATATGCAACTGACTATGCAACACATCATCACCTTTGGTCCCAATCCTGAAAAGTTTAGTGCAAGTACAGGTATGGAGTACTCCCTCCCCTTTTGAGGGTGATCAGTCCTCAAGAGTGAAAGTAACATACCCATAATGCAGAAAACAAACCGGCTCTGATACCAAGCTGTAACACCCTACCCTATACGTTTTGCCTAATCATATTGTTCACACAATTGCAGCGGAATTTAAAACTGGTGTTACATTAATTACCAAAAATCAAATAAAATTTCGTCATGAATTACTCACGTAATGGGCTAACAGTTCTTGCAACTAGACTTGCAAAATAATTCATCTGAATACATACATTCATAGACAAACATATATACTCACAACCATGTACATTGGCTTTCATAGCTATAGTCACACTTTCGTACTCTGCAACTACATACCATACTTATACGTGTCATAATCATCACTACATACACCACCACACACATATACACATATAATCAACTTTCCACACCTGTGGATATCTCACACTACATCAGGAGCTAGTATGCACATGAAAAACGTTCTCAAAACATTTTACAAAAAGGTGTGGATCACTGGCCAAAATCCCGAGTAGTAGTCCAAGCACAGAATAGTTGAAGACCATACCTCATCCTTGCTTCAACTCTAGCTCCTCTCCCACCTAACACTTATCTACTGCTGCTACTGATGATCTGCTTACACATAGCATAAGCAGAGGAAAAGAATAAAAGAGGGTCAGCTCATAGCTGAGTGAGATAATCATAGCATCGTGAGTTCATAACAGAGCATACCCCTACCATACATCTAGCAAACAAGCCAAAACACTAGGATCGGAACTCAGCCATCCTCATGTCCCAATGGGCAAAAGACTCAACCACCTTGACTTATGCATATGCGTCTTATCATGTTTTACTTATAGGCGCCTGGCTACTCCCATGCTAATAACTCTCCCGGGAAACATACCCCACATCCCGTCGGATGTAGTCATACATACCCCAACATCCCGTCGGATGTGGTCATACATACCCCACACCACTATGGGTGTAGTCATACCCCGACACCGCTCTGGGTGTGGTCATATCTCGTAAGAATTCTTCAGTCACCACCACATGAGAGGTGTGACTATCATACATATCATAATAGAGTAATAGCATAGGGAGCCCTAATTACTATGTAGTTGACCGTGAGACCACAACACTCATATTTGGTATCCTTATACATGATTCATATCTCATCTTGCTTAATCATAATTCGTTACTTGTACATGAACTTGACCCGGCCATAATTGGCTCAACATAGGTAAATCAGGAGTCGTATAATTGCACTTCCTCGGGATAAACCCTCGTGCAAGTCATCCTCCTTAAACATCATAATATCACCAGGGAATATATATTTTCCCACATATGTATCCAAATACAACAATCATGAAAAATCATACACAATCACCTTCTCGAACCATCATAAAGCATATTAACAGTCTAGCCCACAATTTGTAACATATACACAATCATCAGCATAAACAAGGTCCATATCAATTAGGGCAAGTCAATAATATCATACAGCAGTCCAGGATTCAACATATAGCACAAAAGTTCATACACCCCTAATCATGCCATTCTAGTTCACCTAGATCAATTCTAGGCATCAATATAATTATCGTGATACGACAAACCCGGTATGCCGTGCTAATCCCTCACCAGTTCTGGTCGTTCAAACACCGGTTTAACCTTCCCATACTAAAACGTCAATTTCACGAACGAACCCCGAATTAAAATCCGAGACCGCCCTAATATCCCCTGCAGTATCCCCGTCAATATTAGTTCTAGGCTCCGGGTCAAATTCTTGATAAAAACACATCAAACCGTGGCCGGAGCTAAATTCAGCGGTTTGGACCCCGACCTAAATAATAGCCGAAATTCAGGGATTAGAACTAGAGGATTGATTACCTCGCTGCAGGAAGCTCGTATATGAAATTTGGGCTCAATCCGGCTTCCGGATACTCCGAAACCCTAATTTGGCTTATCGGGTATTCAAGAAATTCCTGATCCAAAAACTCGTTTTAAAGCTCTAAATCGATAAATCACGATGTATAGATGAATTAGGCATTACTTACAGGATTTTTGGATCAGTGTAGCTCAAGAATCGAGCTAGGGAAATTTTCCCCCGACGTTCCCCTGTATCGAAGTCTCTCGGTTTCCTCTCGGTGCAGAAATGGAAAGAGATGATGATGTGGGAATTAATGGACGGGTGGGGGAGGGGAAATGTTAATATGTATATGCGGCCGCGTATTGATTCTTTTATATTATTAATAATTCATCACAAACATATATACTCACAACCATATGCATTGGCTTTTGTTAGCCATAGTCACACTTTCATACTCCACAACTACATACCATACTTATACATACCATAATCGTCACAACTTACACAACATATACACATATCATCAACTTTCCACACCTGTGGATATCTCACACTACATCAGAAGCTAGTATGCACATGAAAAACGTTCTCAAAACTTTTTTTACAAAAAGGTGTGGATCACTGGCCAAAATCCCGAGTAGTAGTCCAAGCACAAAATAGTTGAAGACAATACCTCATCCTGGCTTCAACTCTAGCTCCTCTCCCACCTAACACTTATCTACTGCTGCTGCTGATGATCTACTTACACATACCATAAGCAGAGAAAAAGAATAAAAGAGGGTCAGCTCATAGCTGAGTGAGATAATCATAGCATCGTGAGTTCATAACAGAGCATACCCCTACCATACATCTAGCAAACAAGCCAAAGCACTAGGATCAGACCTCAGCCATCCGACATCCCAATAGGCAAAAGACTCAACCATCTTGACTTATGCATATGCATCTTATCATGTTTTACTTATAGGCGCCTGGCTACTCCCATGCTAATTACTCTCCCGGGAAACATACCCCACATCCCGTCGGATGTAGTCATACATACCCCAACATCCCGTCGGATGTGGTCATACATACCCCACACCACTATGGGTGTAGTCATACCCCGACACCGCTCTGGGTGTGGTCATATCTCGTAAGAATTCTTCAGTCACCACCACATGAGAGGTGTGACTATCATACATATCATAATAGAGTAATAGCATAGGGAGCCCTAATTACTATGTAGTTGACCGTGAGACCACAACACTCATATTTGGTATCCTTATACATGATTCATATCTCATCTTGCTTAATCATAATTCGTTACTTGTACATGAACTTGACCCGGCCATAATTGGCTCAACATAGGTAAATCAGGAGTCGTATAATTGCACTTCCTCGGGATAAACCCTCGTGCAAGTCATCCTCCTTAAACATGATAATATCACCAGGGAATATATATTTTCCCACATATGTATCCAAATACAACAATCATGAAAAATCATACCCAATCACCTTCTCGAACCATCATAAAGCATATTAACAGTCAAGCCCACAATTTGCAACATATACACAATCATCAGCATAACCAAGGTCCATATCGATTAGGGCAAGTCAATAATATCATATTGCAGTCCAGGATTCAACATATAGCACAAAAGTCCATACACCCCTAATCATGCCATTCTAATTCACCTAGATCAATTCTAAGCATCAATATAATTATCGTGATACGACAAACCCGGTATGCCGTGCTAATCCCTCACCAGTTCTGGTCGTTCAAACACCGGTTTAACCTTCCCGTACTAAAACGTCAATTTCACGAACGAACCCCGAATTAAAATCCGAGACCGCCCTAATATCCCCTGCAGTATCCCCGTCAATATTAGTTCTAGGCTCCGGGTCAAATTCTTGATAAAAACACATCAAACCGTGGCCGGAGCTAAATTCAGCGGTTTGGACCCCGACCTAAATAATAGCCGAAATTCAGGGATTAGAACTAGAGGATTGATTACCTCGCTGCAGGAAGCTCGTATATGAAATTTGGGCTCAATCCGGCTTCCGGATACTCCGAAACCCTAATTTGGCTTATCGGGTATTCAAGAAATTCCTGATCCAAAAACTCGTTTTAAGGCTCTAAATCGATAAATCACGATGTATAGATGAATTAGGCATTACTTACAGGATTTTTGGATCACTAGGGCTCAAGATTGGAGCTCTCAAATTTTCCTCTGTCGCTCCCCTGAACTTGTCCGCTCGCTCTGCTCTCGGTCGGAATAAAAGGAAAAGAACGAGAAGATGGAAATGTAAAGGTCGGGGACATTTAAATGAATTTTGCGTCCCGACCGCTTTATATATATATATTATATATATATATATATATATATATATTAAATATATTATATATATATATATATATATATAATTAATACGTATACTTATCCGATCGATCGATAATCCGATTTTCGCCGAAATACTATCAAAACGCTCGATTTTAAATCGCGAACTTTCTAGCAATCGAAATATGGGTTTTGCCGGAACGGGATGTTACAATTCTCCCCTCCTTAAAAAGATTTCGTCCCCGAAATCTAACCTTGAGTTGTACCCTTACTCCGCTTACTTACCCTTGACATGATCGATCGTACCTAAGGTTATTACCTAACTCTTAAGTTAGGAGATCTGAATTACATAAATAAACACATAACACCTCAAGTTCCCAATATAAGGTTTCAAAAACCTATATCGGGTTATCACAACATAAGCACATCAACAAAGTTCAAAACATAACTTACTAAGCAAGATTGTTAACCTGCAAAGTAGGTTGCCACTAACACAAGGTTATATCAATCTACAAAATGTTTACCATAACATCATCAAGATTCATATCTCTATTCAAATATCTACCACAACAACTCGTCATGTTAGCATAGTCGAAGATCAACTGCATTACATAGCTAGCCACCATGTTTCTCGATCGGTTAGTAGTAACACTAAACGTACTTCTGTGCAAACTACAAGGAAACATTGGCCTTAGTTTGATCCACACACCATTTGTGTCTAACCAAGTTACTCACTTGGTTGAAACAAAACTTTCTTCAAAATCAATACTTGGAAAACAAGATAAAAACTCCATATATTTCCAAAAATTTCTTAAACCATAAAATTTTCAAGATTCCTTCAAATACTCAAAATCATGTTTGACCATATGCAACTGACTATGCAACACATCATCACCTTTGGTCCCAATCCTGAAAAGTTTAGTGCAAGTACAGGTATGGAGTACTCCCTCCCCTTTTGAGGGTGATCAGTCCTCAAGAGTGAAAGTAACATACCCATAATGCAGAAAACAAACCGGCTCTGATACCAAGCTGTAACACCCTACCCTATACGTTTTGCCTAATCATATTGTTCACACAATTGCAGCGGAATTTAAAACTGGTGTTACATTAATTACCAAAAATCAAATAAAATTTCGTCATGAATTACTCACGTAATGGGCTAACAGTTCTTGCAACTAGACTTGCAAAATAATTCATCTGAATACATACATTCATAGACAAACATATATACTCACAACCATGTACATTGGCTTTCATAGCTATAGTCACACTTTCGTACTCTGCAACTACATACCATACTTATACGTGTCATAATCATCACTACATACACCACCACACACATATACACATATAATCAACTTTCCACACCTGTGGATATCTCACACTACATCAGGAGCTAGTATGCACATGAAAAACGTTCTCAAAACATTTTACAAAAAGGTGTGGATCACTGGCCAAAATCCCGAGTAGTAGTCCAAGCACAGAATAGTTGAAGACCATACCTCATCCTTGCTTCAACTCTAGCTCCTCTCCCACCTAACACTTATCTACTGCTGCTACTGATGATCTGCTTACACATAGCATAAGCAGAGGAAAAGAATAAAAGAGGGTCAGCTCATAGCTGAGTGAGATAATCATAGCATCGTGAGTTCATAACAGAGCATACCCCTACCATACATCTAGCAAACAAGCCAAAACACTAGGATCGGAACTCAGCCATCCTCATGTCCCAATGGGCAAAAGACTCAACCACCTTGACTTATGCATATGCGTCTTATCATGTTTTACTTATAGGCGCCTGGCTACTCCCATGCTAATAACTCTCCCGGGAAACATACCCCACATCCCGTCGGATGTAGTCATACATACCCCAACATCCCGTCGGATGTGGTCATACATACCCCACACCACTATGGGTGTAGTCATACCCCGACACCGCTCTGGGTGTGGTCATATCTCGTAAGAATTCTTCAGTCACCACCACATGAGAGGTGTGACTATCATACATATCATAATAGAGTAATAGCATAGGGAGCCCTAATTACTATGTAGTTGACCGTGAGACCACAACACTCATATTTGGTATCCTTATACATGATTCATATCTCATCTTGCTTAATCATAATTCGTTACTTGTACATGAACTTGACCCGGCCATAATTGGCTCAACATAGGTAAATCAGGAGTCGTATAATTGCACTTCCTCGGGATAAACCCTCGTGCAAGTCATCCTCCTTAAACATCATAATATCACCAGGGAATATATATTTTCCCACATATGTATCCAAATACAACAATCATGAAAAATCATACACAATCACCTTCTCGAACCATCATAAAGCATATTAACAGTCTAGCCCACAATTTGTAACATATACACAATCATCAGCATAAACAAGGTCCATATCAATTAGGGCAAGTCAATAATATCATACAGCAGTCCAGGATTCAACATATAGCACAAAAGTTCATACACCCCTAATCATGCCATTCTAGTTCACCTAGATCAATTCTAGGCATCAATATAATTATCGTGATACGACAAACCCGGTATGCCGTGCTAATCCCTCACCAGTTCTGGTCGTTCAAACACCGGTTTAACCTTCCCGTACTAAAACGTCAATTTCACGAACGAACCCCGAATTAAAATCCGAGACCGCCCTAATATCCCCTGCAGTATCCCCGTCAATATTAGTTCTAGGCTCCGGGTCAAATTCTTGATAAAAACACATCAAACCGTGGCCGGAGCTAAATTCAGCGGTTTGGACCCCGACCTAAATAATAGCCGAAATTCAGGGATTAGAACTAGAGGATTGATTACCTCGCTGCAGGAAGCTCGTATATGAAATTTGGGCTCAATCCGGCTTCCGGATACTCCGAAACCCTAATTTGGCTTATCGGGTATTCAAGAAATTCCTGATCCAAAAACTCGTTTTAAATCTCTAAATCGATAAATCACGATGTATAGATGAATTAGGCATTACTTACAGGATTTTTGGATCAGTGTAGCTCAAGAATCGAGCTAGGGAAATTTTCCCCCGACGTTCCCCTGTATCGAAGTCTCTCGGTTTCCTCTCGGTGCAGAAATGGAAAGAGATGATGATGTGGGAATTAATGGACGGGTGGGGGAGGGGAAATGTTAATATGTATATGCGGCCGCGTATTGATTCTTTTATATTATTAATAATTCATCACAAACATATATACTCACAACCATATGCATTGGCTTTTGTTAGCCATAGTCACACTTTCATACTCCACAACTACATACCATACTTATACATACCATAATCGTCACAACTTACACAACATATACACATATCATCAACTTTCCACACCTGTGGATATCTCACACTACATCAGAAGCTAGTATGCACATGAAAAACGTTCTCAAAACTTTTTTTACAAAAAGGTGTGGATCACTGGCCAAAATCCCGAGTAGTAGTCCAAGCACAAAATAGTTGAAGACAATACCTCATCCTGGCTTCAACTCTAGCTCCTCTCCCACCTAACACTTATCTACTGCTGCTGCTGATGATCTACTTACACATACCATAAGCAGAGAAAAAGAATAAAAGAGGGTCAGCTCATAGCTGAGTGAGATAATCATAGCATCGTGAGTTCATAACAGAGCATACCCCTACCATACATCTAGCAAACAAGCCAAAGCACTAGGATCAGACCTCAGCCATCCGACATCCCAATAGGCAAAAGACTCAACCATCTTGACTTATGCATATGCATCTTATCATGTTTTACTTATAGGCGCCTGGCTACTCCCATGCTAATTACTCTCCCGGGAAACATACCCCACATCCCGTCGGATGTAGTCATACATACCCCAACATCCCGTCGGATGTGGTCATACATACCCCACACCACTATGGGTGTAGTCATACCCCGACACCGCTCTGGGTGTGGTCATATCTCGTAAGAATTCTTCAGTCACCACCACATGAGAGGTGTGACTATCATACATATCATAATAGAGTAATAGCATAGGGAGCCCTAATTACTATGTAGTTGACCGTGAGACCACAACACTCATATTTGGTATCCTTATACATGATTCATATCTCATCTTGCTTAATCATAATTCGTTACTTGTACATGAACTTGACCCGGCCATAATTGGCTCAACATAGGTAAATCAGGAGTCGTATAATTGCACTTCCTCGGGATAAACCCTCGTGCAAGTCATCCTCCTTAAACATGATAATATCACCAGGGAATATATATTTTCCCACATATGTATCCAAATACAACAATCATGAAAAATCATACCCAATCACCTTCTCGAACCATCATAAAGCATATTAACAGTCAAGCCCACAATTTGCAACATATACACAATCATCAGCATAACCAAGGTCCATATCGATTAGGGCAAGTCAATAATATCATATTGCAGTCCAGGATTCAACATATAGCACAAAAGTCCATACACCCCTAATCATGCCATTCTAATTCACCTAGATCAATTCTAAGCATCAATATAATTATCGTGATACGACAAACCCGGTATGCCGTGCTAATCCCTCACCAGTTCTGGTCGTTCAAACACCGGTTTAACCTTCCCGTACTAAAACGTCAATTTCACGAACGAACCCCGAATTAAAATCCGAGACCGCCCTAATATCCCCTGCAGTATCCCCGTCAATATTAGTTCTAGGCTCCGGGTCAAATTCTTGATAAAAACACATCAAACCGTGGCCGGAGCTAAATTCAGCGGTTTGGACCCCGACCTAAATAATAGCCGAAATTCAGGGATTAGAACTAGAGGATTGATTACCTCGCTGCAGGAAGCTCGTATATGAAATTTGGGCTCAATCCGGCTTCCGGATACTCCGAAACCCTAATTTGGCTTATCGGGTATTCAAGAAATTCCTGATCCAAAAACTCGTTTTAAGGCTCTAAATCGATAAATCACGATGTATAGATGAATTAGGCATTACTTACAGGATTTTTGGATCACTAGGGCTCAAGATTGGAGCTCTCAAATTTTCCTCTGTCGCTCCCCTGAACTTGTCCGCTCGCTCTGCTCTCGGTCGGAATAAAAGGAAAAGAACGAGAAGATGGAAATGTAAAGGTCGGGGACATTTAAATGAATTTTGCGTCCCGACCGCTTTATATATATATATATATATTAAATATATTATATATATATATATATATATATATATAATTAATACGTATACTTATCCGATCGATCGATAATCCGATTTTCGCCGAAATACTATCAAAACGCTCGATTTTAAATCGCGAACTTTCTAGCAATCGAAATATGGGTTTTGCCGGAACGGGATGTTACAACCCTTGCATTCCACGGTCGTGGATTTGAGTCTCTGTCCATGGAATTTCCCTGCCCAAAATCCACTGTCTGTTCCTGACCGTCCTGACCGTGGATTTTAACTGGTCACCATACTGTCTTCAGGATGCACGCTTGGTGTCCAGGAAACTTCAAATAGATCATCCAACACCTTCATGATGTTTAGAATCACTAATAATTTCATCCCAACTCCTACCTTTCCTCGGATGTCTCCCAAATAAAACGAGTAAGCCTCCAGAGTAGGTATCACGAACTGTTTCCAGACTTAGCCAAATTTCCCGCTTCTTCTTTCCTTGCCTTTGTTTCTTCTTTGAACATCAATGGAAATGATTTTGGGTCAAAATTCATGATCACATCATAGACGAGATGAGTGGTGTGAGTTGTTTCAAGTACTAGTATTTGACTACACTAGTGGCCAATTATGCATAAAGATGAAGTGATGGATAACTGCAATTTCTTTGACCAAGATGAGTGGTGTGAGTTGTTTCAAGTACTAATATTTGACTACATTAGTGGCCAATTATGCATAAAGGAAGTGATGGATCACTGTAATTTCTTGACAAGATGAGTGGTGTGAGTCGTTTCAAGTACTAATAATTGAATGTGCTAGTGGACGATTATGTAAAAAGATGAAGTGATTGCTCTCTGAATCGTATGGATAATAGATGAGTGGTGTGACCAAACTTCAATGCCAAAAATTGGCAAAAAAAAAAAAAAGATGTGAACCATCAATAATTGAAGTAATTAACTAATTATTTTAACGCAAAAACTATATCGGAAATAACTCAAATTTTATCGGAATGTTCATATCAAATTATCATGAACGGCTATAAAAAATTCAATTAAAAAACATAAGTTTAACTATTAATATGTTAGAACTACTAAATACGAAATAAAAAATTATAGCACCCGGGTCGCAACTGTTTCTGTTTTCGAGGGGCTAAAAAGCCATTTTAGCTTTTGGACCCCAATCTTTTGCCACCAGGTTGCAGTTAGCCTGAAATATGAAGAATACAACTTAAAAATAAAGTAATTCTGGTTTGCCAAGCCCGATGAACCACTTCCTATGTCCCCGCCCTCGATTGCATCCTCATATTGTGTCTCATACATCCTTCAAATTGAGGAAGGTTGAGTCCACCGACAAAGGCTTGCCTTAGTCCCGTCTCTAACTAATGAGAGGGCATTTGCGTTGATTAATGGTGCAATACTGAAGAGTTTTTCAGCACGACAGCCTTGGATACTCCATGATCCGGGTGATGGTGATCGTATGCAATAATAGATGAGTTGGAAATAAGTGGATAAATACCCCCTTAGAAACCCCCCATTAATTGGAGACCAACCTGCATTGCTAAGACGAGGAAATAAAGGACGATATGATATATCCCTAGTACCATGGCCTTCATTCCGGGACATGCATGCAAGTGCCACACTGCATACAAATATGGGAATTATTACACGAACAGAATCAAGTAAAGAGCGGCAAACGCCTCATGTAGCACTTCTCATCTTAATGATTAATGAGAGTCGGAAAAAAAATTCTAGCTGTCCTGTAGGTCACTTACGGTGATAGCAAGAATCGATCAGAGTGATAAGGATTAAGAATCTACAAGCCCTTGCCTACAAGGCCTTGAGCAGTCTTATGAAAGTAAAACCAAGACAACATTCACAACTAGGACATATCATGTGTTAAACATCAAAACATCAGTAGCAGCCTTACACATAAAAGAAGGGTGACATGGGTTATCAAAATAAATATGAACTCGAGTATAGGGAAAGTGAAGGCTGGTCGTGGACGGGTCGATTTCAAGGGAAGTGAAAGTAGTTTGCAGTCGACAAACGAACCCACTGAAAAGGCAAAATTGACTACTCCCCTGCGCTGCCAAAATCAGCCTTCCGACAATTGCTCTGGAGGCAGAGATTTTAAAATAAGGATGGAGTTTTAAGAACCCAACTTAATTATATATGTAGATCATTTACTGAGTGCGAGTAAGAAATACAAGAGAAACATACAATAGACACCAAGTCCATAGTTGATAGGGATAGATTGGTTTACCTTGTGAGCAATTCACACCATGGATAGGATCTTGGTAGTGCTTGAACTCCTCTTTTGAACGGGAAAACTTCAACTCTGATCGTTGATGCTTAGAGATAAGTTCTTCATTGTGAGGCTTTAGAAGGTTGTATTCTCTCTCTTGTGGCTCACGATATCCATCTGCATAAATGGTGGCAAAAACTGAGCTCATATTAAAGAATGAAGGGTGATAGATCAAAAGCAATGCTATTCCTAACTTAAATCACAATATTTGTTAAAAGATTTTTCGACCTTTAGTGTCTCGTTTTCTACTTTCAAGAACTGGTCTTGCTGACAAAGATTTTCCTCCTCGATCCATCTGTCGAAGAAGGCACATTAGCATCATTGTAATTGATTATTACATCCATAAGTGGTGGTGATTGGAGAAAGACCCTAGTTTTAGAGAAAATATGGCACACCCTCTCCTCTCCTCTATGAAGTGCATTGTGTCGTCATCCTGTTAGGCAGTTTTATCCCCAATGAGTCATTATAGAAAATGCAAGCTTTCAGTTTCAGTTTTACACCAATCATACCTTCATTTCATGTTCCAAGCTGTTGAACTAAGCTTTATCGGAAATATTCTAAGGTTGTTGATTGTTCGATAGTAACTGGAATTTATAAATGGGAAAATATTGAGCTTTCTCCTTCAGTCTTTCCTCATAGAACGGGCGGAGAGAACGGTTAAGAATCGATACTTACTGCATAATTTGTCATGTCAAGCTTCACTCCAAGTAAATCTCGAATGAAATCATGAGTCATGCTCTCAGCAGCAGTTAATCTGGCATTCAGTGCAAATATCTGCAGAAAAGAACATACACCCTTAGTTGGAATCTTCAACAACAAGTTGACAACCCATTTTTCTGGCTTATTAGTCGTTGAAGTATATGCAACATTGTTAAAGGACCCCTGATGCTTCACTTGTTCAAGCATAGCTTCCAGTTGCTTGAACTGTTGTCAAACTTCTTTAGTATCCCAAATTCATTATTATAGTGGCAATTGAACATCCCTGTAAACATAAATTCGTGCTTCTACCTTTTGCTTATATTCGCTAGCTTGTGCTTCTGTGTAAAAATTCAACTCGAAGGTATGAGGCTTGAATAGGGCAATCAGGAGAAGAAAAAAAAACCAATCCGCTAAGCTGGCTTGCCAGAGTCAAACATGGACGAAGGGAATTAAAATGGACCAACAAAGTCCATTTACCTATGCAACCTTGAATTGCGCATCTTCAAGGCCTTTCTTTTTCTCGTCTAAAAGATTGTATAAGGAAGACAATTAGTTTCAAATGTAATCATAAGCTCCATCTGACACTAATGATCTATATGAGCAGTTTTAACCTTCTCATGTAAGAGCGGGAACTTTCAAAAGTCTGCATTTGATTCTTTAGACAATGAATTTCCACTTCTATGTCTTCTCTGTGGAAATTTTGTCGTTCATTTTCATCATTTATAATATTAACCTAATCTTTTAGATATGAAAGGAGGTGATTAGCGTCACGGAGTCAATAAAAAAACTTGCAGTTCACAATTCTAACCTTGTCTTCCAACACATTGATAGTGCATTCTAGCTCTTCAATATATCTCTCTAATAGCTTCACCTTAGCCTCTTTTTCCTATGCATATATCTTCCATTGTTCGACTTCTTGCATCATCAATACGAAAGAGCTAAGAAGCTACCAGATGGTAGAACCTGTTTAATTTATTTGTTAGAAGCTGTATTTACCTATTGAGCAACCACGATAACAACTTCATTTTCCCAGGCCAAAGTCTCTGTCTGGGTAACTTGTTAATATTATTCCACCTCGACGTTGCAGATCCATCTTTGCCCATGGCTGCAACCCATCAAGGAAGGCATACAAAGCCTCCTTATTGAGGAAGTCGGGGATCTCAAGAATCAGCTCCAAGAACTCCTTCATGAACTCTCGGACTCCACCTCTCTGGTTGAGCCTTTTTAATCTCGAACGGGCCTCCAACTCCACGTTCTCCGGATAGAACTAATTCTTGATTTCCCTCTTGAAATCCTCCCATGAGCTCATCTCACACGTAACCTTGGCGATGTCTGCTTCACGTCTTCTCCACCATAGCATAGCAACATCAACTAAGTAAAGTGTAGTGGTATGAATTTTTACCTCATCCTCTTGGATACTGGAAGCCTTAAAGTACTGCTCAAGACCCAAAGGAAGTTCTCTAACTCACTCACGTTCCTCGAACCTCCGAATGTCTTCGCCCTTGGAACGCCAGCTCTTGAGATGTGTTGTGCTGTAACAGGTCCGTTAGCAACAACCCTCTTGACGAGATTAACCTCGCTTTTGAGCTCTACAACCTCATCTCGAACGCAGGTGGCAACTTCTCTCATGTTTGTCACCTTAGCTAGAATGGTCCCCTTCAGGCATAAGGGGGAAGAAAGAAAAATGCAGACTAGTAAAACTAAATAAACATTAATTATCTTTTTCTTCAATAACCTAGGTTTCCCTAGCAACGACACCAAAAACTTGACTCGCTAAAATACAACTTCTAACAATGCCACGTATAACAAATGAAAGGGACTACAGTATAGTGGGTTCAGTTTCACTTGTCAAGTTGGGTCCTAGATGTACTGACTACTCGGTGAATCTAGTCGTCAAAGAGTGAAGTAGTTCGTTGCATGCAAAGTAGAAATGAAAGCATGTAATTATTTTGATTTCTAAGTTTCAGAAA